GTTTTACATACACATGATCATCTCTAATATAAGATAGGTTTTGCTACCCTTCTATCACAGATGTAAAGTCTAGAAGGCAAGGACTCTGTCACTTGCTCAAGATCACATAGCCAGTCAGTGACCAGGTTTAGATGACCATTGCTTCCTGGCAGTGCAGCTCAACCTTTCTCTAGGGCACCATCATGCCTCTGAAGGTGATGCTCTGAGGGCTGCATAGATTGTGAAGGAAAGGCCAAGGAGATCCCACACCAAGCACACCTGGGCCAGCAAGCCTATCTTTACCCAGAAACACCAACCTTGACAACAAGGATGGGTCTGCAATGTACCTGGGTGAGCAGGCTTCCCCCAGTGTGTAGTGCTGGTATGTAAGGCAGGGAAAGGGTTTCCCTAGGCATGGCCAACCCATGACAGAGCCTCAGTGAAGAGAGCAAAGACCTTTCTTTCCTCTTCAGGCTGTGCCTGTTCTGAGCAGGCAACACAGACACAAAGTATCTCAAACCTTTTAGTTTCCTGGCTTAGTCTCACACTCTAAATGCTGGTATCTTAGAGGGAGGGATTTGTCCCCCCATTTTCTCACTTTCCTCACTTTAAATTCTTCCCTAGAGCAATTTCAGGCACATCCATTGTTTTCACTCCCAAGCAAATGTTGGTGACTCCTCAAACCCCATCTCCTCCTAGACTACTCCTGTGAGAGCCATTCCCAGACACCTAGCTATACAACCAAATCAAAAACAAAGGAGTTGGTATGGGTGCCTAACATCAATTGTCTATCCATTTTTACAAGCCCCTGAGCACTCAACCTCTTCCTAAAATCTTCCTATTATTTTTCTCTTCATTCCCAAAGAGTACCTGTAGGATCAGTAGAAAACTGAAATGTTATTTTAAGAGAGGAATAAACTTATCAGATTCCTAAAGGGGTCCATTATCCTCAAAAGGTCAGGAATCACTACTAATTTCCTGATCTGAGTCCTCCTCTATCCAGTTGAAATAGTCTACCTGAAAATGTGAATTCCCCTGTTTAAAATCCTTTAATGGCTCTCAGCATGCAGGAAGTGCTCCCTAGAGCTGTGCTGTGAGGGTCTTCCAAGTACTTTCTTCCACTTACTCCTGTTCTCAGAACCAGGGCAGATGGTACTACCTGCTATCTACCATTCTCTACCCATACTTCTGCCTGGAGGATCTTTCTCAGTCAGCCTGGAAATCCAATTCATCCTTAAAACCCAATTCAAAGTCACTTACCCAGTGACATGTCTCAGACAGAACCAGCTCTCAGGAAAAGACCATCACCACCTCTCTGTAATACCCACATCCTTCATATAGCTAGCTAGCTACTTTTTCCTTTACCACTCTTTAGTGTGACTCCTTGCTCTAAGGTCCATCTTATTACTTGAAAGGGAGTACTGTTGAAGGGCCAGACCATGCATATTCATTTAGATATTCCCAGTATCTGGCAGAGTGCCTAACACACAGTAAAATCATGTTGGATTATAAATAAATAGAACTAACAAGCAATTATAACTGGAGAGAACTTTGTAATTCACACGTCACATTATTTTATGTCTTGATCATTACAGCAATACAGATAGATAGACAAGGGATAGTAGGGAAATCTTGCCAAGGTCACAAATTACAATTCATCATCTTCTCTCAGCACCAAGTAAAGGTTGAGACCCACAGAAACAACAATTGCAAAATGCAGTGAATTTAAGATGAAGAACTTTGGGAATGACTATGCTCTGATAGTGAAGGACTGTCCAGCTGTCTTGAGCTTGTGGCTTTCCTGTGTGATAGCACAACTCTCTGTGTGAAAGGGATGTATGTGCCTTCTGTTCTACCTTATCCTCCTCATACATCTCCCCAGTCAGGTTACTTCCCGTAAAAAAGTCAATTCAGTCAAAAGGAAAGAGAACCATGGGATTCTTACACTTCTTTCTGTTTCACCAATGAGGATGACCCAGAGCTGGCAGAGTGCCTACCTCAGAGCAGGCACACAATGAACACTGATAGAGGGGTAAAAGCACAAGGGGTCAGGAAGTGGAAAAGGCAAGAAAGCACAGCTAAGGGGACCTCTGGACACTGGAACACAACATGTGATCTACACACTCATAGTTAACCTGGGATATGTGGGGAGATGCAGGTTGGACACACAGGAGGCTGCTAAGTGTTGAGAAGAGCCCTGAGAAGACACTGAAGGACTGTGTCATCCTGGCACCAGTCTGAAAGCATGGCACATGGAGAACAAAGCAAATCTAAAAAGAAGACAAGCTGCAAAGTAGTCTGCAATGGGGGGAGGGGGGTTGATTATAGACCACTGATAATGAGCTTATTAATGACTCAACAATTCTAGGTTTTTTTTGTAAACAGTGCTGGGGATTGAACCCAGGGCCACATGCCTACTAGCAAGCACTTTACTATTGAACAACATCTCTAGTCCTGGAATTTAAAAAAAAAAAAAATTGGTTTGTATGTGCTCTGCTGATTTCCAAGCTCCACACAGGTTCCCTAAGAATAAGGTGTTAACATTCCAGAATAACCCAAGGTAATGAACCTAAGGGCAGGAAAACAAATGCTGGGCACATTTTTATTTGAGCAACAAATGGCAGAAAATATAATTTTGTAGACAAAATAGAGAAACATGATGCAAAAGATGGAACTTTGGGGCTGGAGAGATGGCTCAGCAGTTAAGAACACTGGTTGTTCTCATAGAAGACCAGGATTTGAATCCTAGCACCCACATGGCAGTTAACAACTTTCTGTAACTCCAGTCCCAGGGGATCTGACAATCTCTTCTGATCTCCGAGGGCACTGCATGACACGGGTGCACTTACCTACATGCAGGCAATACATGCATACACATAAAATAAAAAGAAAAAAAGAAAAGAAAAGAAAAGGGGAACTTCGGTGGATTACAGTTGTGAATGTTGAATAATGCATCAAAACTGTCCTGTTCATGAGCTCAAGGATTCTGAATTTAATAATGTCCTTATGCTCATTTTGATCCAAAAAGTTCATGATGCAGGAGCTCATCCAAGTTAACTAGTGCCAGCACAGAGGAGAGGACCAGCAAACAACTTTAAATAAGTGAAGCCACAGGAAGTCTACACTTACTTTGCAGATGATACAAAATAAGAGATCGTTCATATTTTTTTTTTAATGAAAGCTTTTTGCAACCTTTTGTTATTTATTTATTTACCTAGAACGAAGGCTGGCTGGCATAAGAGTTAAAAAGAAATCAGAGGGGCTTGACCAAATGAACAAATAAGTAAATAAACACAAAGCCTGTTCTGGTGCCATCTAAGGTTATTTTGGTATTGAAGAGTATTTACCATCTGGCTACTGCTAGAAAAAGCTTGCTACCCTGTACTGATTTAGAATGAACATGACCAAGCTGGAGAGAAGCATTAGCACAAAGCTACAGAAGTTGAATGCAAGCCACGAAGACCAGTGTAGTGGCAAGAGCTGGATTAGATTCTATGAAATCAAAGTATTTCCTGAGCCCACTAAGACTCTGAGAGCAGAAGAGCAGGCACTCAAGAGAATCCCCCTGCCCCCTTCTGGGCCCCAATGTTTAACAAATAGCCGCTTTGCTTTTTGGCGCAGGCACCCAAACACAAGACTGATGGGATGGTATGTCTGAGTGACAAGAGAACAGCCCATCAGCTAAGTCTACTTTAGGTGGCAAATATACTGCAAGTCTGGCACTCTTGAACTTCTCCTCTGTTTGAAGTATAAAGTGAGCACTCCTCCAGCTCAGTGGGGAATCTGCAGAGGCACAGGTTATGGCCTGCACATGCAACTGTCAGCTGGGGAGCAGAGAAAAGACTTATGGGCAGGCAAGAGTTCAAATAACCACAGAAGAGGCCAAGATTCAGGGCACACTCAGAAGAGCTGCCGAGGGCAAAGTGACTTCACACTTCATGTGGGCACAATGCCCTGATGCTCTTGGACACTGCCCTCATGCCACTGATTAAAGAAACTTTCTCTCTGCAGTAACAACCAAATCTCTGCTCCGGGCTATCACAGAGCCATGTCAGTCTTGCCTCACTTGTTCAGAGGATTGAGTGCAGTAAATGTCTTCCTTCTCTGCTGAACCACCAGGGCTCATGTTCTGACTTTTAGGCACTCAGCAGGGCTATTATCCTTATGGCACTAGTACCAACTCCAAAACTGCTCAGCTGCCCTGTCACCTAAGTCTCAGAGGAATAGCACTCTGTTTGGGTGATCCAGAACAATGGTGGGAAATGGGCACAGTCTACACAGGCAAAAGCTCAAATATAAAATGCTCATTTGTCCGCAGCCAATGCAACCTGCCTTCTTTCCAACTTCACTTTGAAAGAACAACTCACCAGAGGCAACAGACTGATTTGAGCAGGTGTCCTTGAACAGACTGGTGGCACAACACCTCTTCTCAAGTCCTGTTAATTACCATAGGACAACCTAAGACGCACTAATGACAACTTCATTTTATAGCACAGACACTGAGGCAAAAGGTCTGCAAGTTATGCTAGATCACAGTATAGGGAAGGACCAGTCTCAGAGAGAAGACTACATATCAAAAAAGCAATATTCAGAGTATTTCTCATCTTACTTTGGCAGCACATACACTAACATTGGAATAATTCAGAGTAGTTCTTAGGGACTTCTATGGCTGAGAGAACCGTAAGGCTAATTAGGATACTGGGGCAGGTAGGTCTGCAGGAGGGGAAGGAGCAAGCACACCTCCTATGCACCTTCCCCAACTGTTTCACTGAAATCTGTTCCATTGCTGCTCATCTGAGGCTCCTATATCAGGAGAACACCAGGTGAAATGTGCCCTACCTCATCCAGGCCACGAACTCAGGCTCTGATTTCTTTCCCCAACACTTCTGTGTTGAAGAAGGACTGTGAAGGACATCTATATGGATATCCTTGGGGATATCCATGAGTGCCCACTGGCACTGAGCAAGGCTTGTGGAACCCACAGGGGAAACACCCAGAGTTATGGGGCAGCCCATGCTTACCTTCCAAAGAATGGATTCCCTGTTCCTTGGCAGTCTTGTAGACACTGCTGAAATCATCCCCAAGGTTTGGGTCAGCCCCAGCAGCAAGCAGGACCTGTACCACACTGGAAGCAATTGGAAAAGCAGAGTGTCACAAGGTCTGTTTTTCACAATTATAAAACACAGACCATTTATCAAATGGCCTCCATGGACACTAGGCACACACGCTACACACACACACACACACACACACACACACACACACACACTCTTTTAGAAAATCTTTAAAAAACAAAGTAAGCTTGGTATGGTGGCATATGCCTTTATCCTAGCACTTGGGAGGCAGAGGCAGGTGGATCTCTGGGAGTTCAAGGCCAGCCTGGTCTACATAGTGAGTTCCAGGCCAGCTGGGGCTACAGGGAGACCCTATTTCAAAAAGCCAAAAAAAACCAACAACAACAACAACAAAAGCACACACAAAACAAAACAAAACAAATCCCACAAAACCAAAAACAACAAAGTAAAAACTAAAAACAAAAACAAACCAAAAAAAAAAAAAAAAACAAAGCAAGGGGCTGGAGAGATATGTCTCCAGTGGTTAACAGGACTGGCTGCTCTTGTAGAAGACATGGGTTAAATTCCCAGCACCCACACGGAGGCTAAAAACCATCCGTAAAGCCAGTTCCAAGGGATCTGATGACCCCTTCTGACCTCCATGGGCACTGCATGACACAGGTGCACTTATAACTTACATACATGTGGGCAACATACTCACACACATATAGTAAAATAATAAATAAAATATTTTAAAAAACCTAACCTAACCAACCGACCAAACAACAAAACAACAATAGAATTATCATATGAGCTGGCTGCCACCGCCAATAGAATTATCGTATAAACTAGTCATGCCGCCACCACCACCACCACTACCACAGAATTATCATATGAGCTGGCCACACTATTCCTGGGTGAAAACCCAAAGGAACCCTAGTCAGTATACAGCAGAGATACCTGCACATCCGTGTTTACTGCTGCACTAGTCAAACAAGCTCAAAAGGGACCCAGCCTCAGAGGCCCATCAACAGATGAATGGATAAATACAACATGCTATAAACACAATGGAGTTTTATTCAGCCTTAAGGAAAAATGAAATTAATTCAACTGTAAGAAAATAGAACTGGAGAGCAGGTTGTTAAATAAAATAAGTAAGATTCAGAAAGATAACATCATGTTTTCTCTCATATGTGGAATCCAGGTTTAAATATAATAATAATTTAAAAAACCCAACTAAGGCAGGGGAGGGCACTGAGAGAGGAGTATCGATGAGAACCAAGTATAAGAGCACATAGTCTACGAAAATGACATGATGAAACCCATCACTCTGTAGTGCAAACTTAAAAAGTTCATGAATACAGAAAACACACTCACACTCACACACACACTCAAGCATGACATGAAAACAGGAGGGATGACACGGGGGGGAGAAAGGGACCAGCAAGAGGAGGAGGAGGGATGGAGGATGGTAAATAAGAGTAAAGTACCGATGAAACACATGTGTGAAGATGCCATGATGAAATTCATTACTTTGCATACTAATAAAAGCATTAATAAAAGTAGAAATTAGAAATCAAAAAAATCTCAAAACAAATGAAAACAGGCACACAACACACCAAAACTTATGGGATATAGCAAAAGCGTTGTAAGAGTAAAACTAATAGCTTATAAATGCCCTCATCAAAAGAAGAGAGAGGGGCTAGAAAGACAGCTCTGTGGTTAAGAGCAGCGGCTGCTCTTGCAGAGGAGCCAAGTTCGATTCCCAGCATGCTCATAGCAGCTAACAATCATCCATAACTCCAGTTCCAGGAGATTCTGATGCCCCCCTAATCTCTGCGGGCATTGCATAACACAGGTGCACTTACACACATGCAGGCAATACAGTCATGCACATAAAAATAATAAATAAAACATTTTTTTAAAAAAGAGGAGAAAGGGCTGGAGATGGCTCAGCAATTAAGAGCACTAGCTGCTCTCCCAGAGGACCAGAGTTCAGTTCCCAGCAGCCATACTGTGTGGTTCACAACCACCTGTAACTCCAGATCCTGGCCTTCCGGGCACCTGCATTTACATGCACAAACCACCCCCCAACACACATATACACATAATTTTTTAAAAAAGAAATCTTTAAAAGTCTAAAGTTAGTAGAAGAAAGGAAATGATAAAGATGAGGGCAAAAATAAAGCACTGACCAAGAAACAGCAAAGTCAACAAAGCAAAGTTTGGTTCACTGGAAAGAGGAGGAAAGCAAAGTTTTTGTCATAATATGAAAAAAAGACAACTGAAATAAATTAGAAATGAAAAAGACCTTATAAATACTATAGTAAGACAAAGGATTGTAAGAGACCTAGGAATAATTATATTTCAACAAAGGGTATGACCTAGGAGGAATGGATAAGTTCCTAGACATATTTAGCTTACCAAGAGTGAATCATGAAGAGATAGAAAACTGGACTAATAATGAGGAAGGTGATTATGACGGCTAATCCTGGTTGCCAACTGGATTGCATTAAGCAGCACCTAGGGGATTAGTAAAGCCCACTCTGCATATGTCCGTGAGGGCATTTCCAGAGAGCGAACATTAACCCAGGGTGGGGTGAATGTGGGTGTTAAACTCCACCTGCTGGGGGCCCAGAACTCAGGGGAAAGGAGGAGGTCCACTAGTGCAGGCATTCTCTCTCTCCCTCTGTTTTATGGCCACTATGAGGTCCTCACCATTATGTGCAGCCTCACCTCAGGAACACAGCAGTACAACTGCTGATTGTGGATGCAAACCTCTGAAACTGTGAGCCAAAACAAATCTTTCCATCTTTTAAATTGTTCTTTTAGGTATTTGTACCGTGTCAAAAACAATGACTAAAGTGTGCTCTAAAAAAGAAAAAAGGAAAAAAGAAAGCTGCAGGTGGTACTCTAGGCCGTGCTTTGTTCTTGCAGTATACTCAATAAACGTGTGTGTGTGTGTGTGTGTGTGTGTGTGTGTGTGGTGTGTTGCATGCACATGAATGTATGTACAGGTGTGCTCACCATGCATACACATGCAGAAGCCAGAGAAGAATGCTAGGTGTCTTCTGCTGTCTCTCTCTCTATTGCCTTGAGACAGGGTCTCTCACTGGATGGGAAGCCTACCTTTTTACATGGGTACTGAGGATCTGAACTCAGGGTCTCACGCCTGCAAAGCAAACACTCTTATCCACAGAGCCATCTTAATAGTTCCCTTCTCCCCATAAACTATTCTTTAAAAAAGATGGTTTCACCAGGTGTGGTGGTACATGTCTTTGATCTCAGCACTCTGGAGGCAGAGACAGAAGGATCTCTCTGAGCCTGCACTACATAGGGAGTTCAAGGCCAGCTGGGGCTACAGGAAGACCGTGTCTCAAGAACAAAACAAAAATTAAAACATAGCATCAGGTTGGTGAGGTGACTAAGCAGGTAAAGGCACTTGTTGCCAAGTTCAATTCCTAGGACTCATGTGGTGGACAAAGAGAACCAACTCTTGCAAGTTATCCTCTGACCCTCACACCTGAGTCATGGTACACATGCCTCCCTAACACACCACACACACACACACACACACACACACACACACACACACACACACGATAAATAAATATAAAAAGAGATGGCTTTACTGACAAAATCTACCAAACACTTAAAGAAGAATGAATTCCAATCTTTCCTAAATTCTTCCAAAATTTAAATAAAGAGGAACAGGTCTATGAGGCCTGTGTTACTCTAATACCAAAGCCAGAAAATGACAATATTGCTAATGAACATAGATGTAAAGATCTCAAATAAAATATTAGCAAATCAGACTCAATGGCATATTGATACTCACCATACAAATGACATAAATTCATTTTTATCTTAGAGATGCAAAGATGGCTCAACATACACAAATCTGTGTGATATATCATATTCACAGAATGAGGACCAAACCCATATGCTCACCTAAATAGAGAAGGAAAAAAATTCAACATCCTTCCCTGACAAAATTTTCAACAAATTAGGTGTATAAGGAATGTACCATGGAGAAATGGCTTAATGATTAAGAGCGCTGTCTGCTCTTACAAAGGACCCAGGTTCAATTTCTAACACCCGAAGTCCAATGTGGTGGCGCACGCCTTTAATCCCAGCACTCTGGAGGCAGAGGCAGGTGGATCTCTGTGAGGTCAAGGCCAGCTGGTCTACATAGCGAACTCCAGGCGAGTTGAGGCTATAGGAGACCCTGTCTCATAAAGACCCAAAACAAAAACAAAAAGGCATGTACAGAAACATAATATAGGCCTTTTATGACAAACCCACAGCTAATATCACACTAAAAAATGAAAGGTCAGGTCAGGTATGGTGGCTCATAGCTACAATGCCAGCACTCAGGAGGCCAAAGCAAGATCAGTGTGAGTTTGGGGCCAGCCTGGCCTCCAGAGTAAGACCCTGGTCTCACCCCACCCCCCAAAGTGCAATGTTGAAAGTTTTTCCTCTGAGACCAGGAACAAGTCAGGGTTGTCTATCATCACCATTTCTATTTACTACAGTGCTGAAAGTCCTAGCTACAGCAACCAAACAGAAAGACCAGCACCACGTGGGAAGGAAGAATCAAAATTACCCATTTGCTGATAAGATATCTTATATACAGAAACCCTTAAAAAGTAATTTAAAGGAGGCTGGACGTGGTGGCACATGCCGTTAGTCCCAGCATTTGGGAGGCAGAGGCAGGTGGATCTCTTTGAGTTCAAGGCCAGCCTGGTGTACATAGTGAGTTCCAGCTGGGCCTACTGGAGACCCTGTCTCAAAAAAGACAAAGGTGGGGGGGGCGCTGGAGAGATGGCTCAGCCATTAAGAGCACTGACTGTTCTTACAGAACACCTGGGTTCAAATTCCAGCACCCACATGGTGGCTAACAACCCTTCATAACACCAGTTCCAGGAGATCTGATGCCCTCTTCTGTCCTCCATAGGCACTGCACTTATATACATGCAGGTATAACACTCACACACATAATAAATAAGAAAGCCTGTTTGAACTAATAAATGACTTCAGTAAACTTTCAGGATACCAAATGAAATACATA